AAGGCTCCACTTGCTATGTATTTCTTAGCCATTCATCATTTACCTGAAAAAAACCTTTCATTACTTGGGTTTTTGTCAGATTGAAGACGTCCTCTGTGATGGGACCAGACTGTTAAGTGTCTATTTATTTAACCTTTCCATACCTAGTTTATCAAGTAATTCCCGCCTTGTTTCTGAGTCGCTTTCTTTTTCCCTGTTGCTCTTCCTTTGCCACATAGAAAAGTTGGTCGTCGCGTCATTTGCGTTAAAGTAAGCACTGTAAAAGTGCGCACTATTCAAAAGAGCGAGCAACCAATTAACTCAGTCAAAGGGAACTTACTGTAATGTTTGCGTATAGATAATAGAGCCAAATGGTAATGAAACCTGTCAAAGTTCTTTGTTTTATGTTTTTGATGGCTATTTTGGGGGTTGACCTCGCACAAAACCTGGCAATATACAAAAGGCGGTTATGTGTGCTCACAAAACTAACCAAGAGAAGCATTGCGATTGTAGTGTCATTTATACGCAATCAGTGAGCATTAAACGAAAGATGGGCAGGTTCAAGGACCTTCCAACATAAATCTTAGCAAGTTTTGTTTGTTTCTTTGATGTTTACCGACCTTTCTAACCATTTCCCTCCGTTCAAGTTTCTATAGTTTGGTGGTGTAAAAGAAAGCCACCAAATATCTACCAGGAAAACAATAATCATACGGTTCTGAAAGTTTGAGGTCAGACTGTCATAGTCAAAAGCAAATATTCGCTTGTTTAATAAGGGCTTTATATAGTAACAGAATGCTGTTGATGAGAATTTCAGAACTATTTTTCGATTGCCATTAATCAGCCAAAGTAGATAAGTGTATCTGGCGTCATTATCCAAGGACTTTGTCACAGAGAAAAAAAAAATCTGCACTGCATATGAACAGTTCCTTTTTTTGTTACGTTTTTCGTTTCTTGTTTGTGTTCTATGGGAAAACAGACTATGGATCTGACAGTCATAGACGGCGGACCTCTGCCTTTCGCTTTCGATATCTTGACAACAGCATTCGATTACGGCAACAGGGTATTCGCCAAATACCCAAAAGACATCCCAGACTATTTCAAGCAGTCGTTTCCTGAGGGGTTTTCTTGGGAACGAAGCATTACTTACGAAGACCGGGGCATTTGCATCGCCACAAACGACATAAAGTAAGATGTAGAGCTGATGGCTCTCGCTAAGAAGATTTATAGGAAATTCATAGGAACCTGCACAAAAAATTAATTCGTGATACTTCCGTCGGAGAATTGCCATGCCAAATTGTTATCCCAAGTCAGAGTATTCTGAAATTCTATCTACAAATCTTCGAAGCGATTGCGATTTATTTAGTTCAGCTTTGCATTCCCTGTGGAATGAGTATGCTTCATCAACTGATGTTTACAAGCTCGTGGAAACAGTCTTCCAGAGTTTAGGATCTGAAGAAGTTTGCACGATAAATATGCAATACATCTAAACAACTTATATGATAAAATCGCGAAGAAAAGGTCATTTCATTGACATACCACGGAAATTCTTCACTACTCCTCAATATCTACTCCTCTTCTCTTCAGTTCAAAACCGTCACCAATATTCTTGTTTGACGTCACTAGCCCCAGTCTCCGTTGCCTTCGGTGGTCTGCTTAGTAATCCCGACTTAAGAAATTCATTAAAAAAATCGCTGTTTTAACCAAAAACAAAACTGCTTGTGGCAATTTGTTCCATGCAATATAAGATTATCCCGCTAAAAATATATTTGGGGTTATATAAACTTTTAAGGCATTTTTCCAAAATGGTTCTCTCTGTGTATCATAAAAGGGAAGAAGAAAAAAATCGCAACTGCGGTAAATGACAAAGTGTTCCTTTTATCTTTGCATAGTAACACTGACTATCTTTTATTTCTTTTTTATCAGAATGAAGAAAGACGACGACAACTGTGATTGTTTTTCGATTTGATGGGGTGAACTTTCCTGCCAATAGTCCAGTTATGCAAAAGACCGTGAAATGGGAGCCATGCACTGAGGAAATGTACGTGCGCGATGGCGTGCTGAAGGGTGATCTCAACATGGCTCTGTTGCTTGAAGGAGGTGGCCATTACCGATGTGACTTGAAAACTACTTACAAGTAAGTTTTCCTGTTATTATGCGTTTAAGATATTCATGACTTACAATAAGGAGACATGAATAAGTTCATCAAGACATGAATAAGTTTTAGTGGTCACTGTTAAAGTGGAATCGGTGACCTTAGCTCCGAATTCTAGATTAGAGATGCCCCATGTGGGGATTGGTGTTGAACACTTATCACCCTGTATGACGCAATTTATAGTACAGCATTGTATTTCTCGTTTTGCATTTTCTTCCTGTATTG